TTTTACCTTTAATTTAATTTTCACAACCTCGGTGAAATAGATACCCCTAGCTCCATGTGAGGAGTCTGGGTGGTGCAAGTGGTTTGCAATCAGCTGCTGACCTAAAAGTTGGTACTTTGAACCCACCCAGCGGCTCTGCAAAAGAAAGGCCTGGTGAGCTGCTTCCATAAAGATTATAGCCAAGAAAACCTTATGCAGCAGTTCTACTCTGTAACACATGGGGTCACCGTGAGTCGGGGGCTGACTTGACGGCAGCCGACGACAACAACTACAAGCTCCATTTTACAGATGAGAAACTGTACGTTTGCAGAGGAAACACGTGCCCAGCATCACAGTTAGTAAGCAGCAGACAGGGGACTCAAAGTCAGGGTCCAAAGCCTACACATTTTCTACTCTCCCAGTACTCGTGTTTGATTTGAGGACTGTACCAGGGGGCTGAAACATTCCAGAGCTGTAGAGATGGAGGGGTGGGCTTTGCTGTTTGAGAAGACTCAAGGAATCCATAGATTCCTGGCAGGTAAGACCCTTGGCTGGGGATTATGAGAACCCCAGAGAGGAAGAGGTTATGGGTTTGGGAAGCATGAGGAGGTTTCAGATCAGGAAGGACACCACGGGGCTCCTGGAAAAGAAAGAAGATGTGACAGGGAAGGTCAGTGGTTATATGATATGCTAAGAGTCTCACTGTTGGGGCTTCAGCTACTTCTAAAGACAAAACCACAGGCCTTTCTTACACGTTAAGGGTTTTTACTTTTCCACGTGGATCTTGGCCACACACACTGCCTTTGATGGCCTGCAGACCAATAATTGGCTAGGATTCTGGGACTTGCTTACCTTGGTGGCTCATCTGGGCTTCAGAGGACATCAGGTGGGGCAATGACATTTCTGTGGCCGCCAGAAGGGATTGGTATTCCTGATACTGCCTCTCTCCTTCCTTGTTCATAAAGATAAAAATGGGGGTAAAAACAGCTCCGTCTCCCCACCCCCTCCCAGTGGTGCCCAGAGCATAAAGGCAAGAGAGTGTGTGAAATGAGTCCATTGGGACCCAGGGCTCACAGAGTCAGTCTCACCCAACACAGGTCCCAGCACCAGCAGACCAGACCTGTTGGTGACAACGAACCACACAGGAACGTCTGCCGTGACTGCAGGGGTAAGGACAAGCTTAGAGGGAGCCTTCCAGACCTCTGATGTTGCTGAGGCCTCAGGCCACATCCCTTTGGAAACTCAAGCCCTAAGAACCGAGACTACTGCTGGAACCTTCATCCCAGGTGGCACCACTTCAGAAGTAGAGACCAGGGACATCAAGACCATTTCCCCTGCAACAGAGACAAAGGCCCTCTCAAGAACCGTACCTTACCATTTCATGGCTGTGATCACCAACCCTGTGGAGACGTCAGCCACAAGTGGCGGCACCACGGTAACTGAAATGACCACAGCTGAGACTGTTACGGGCAGTGATCTCACCGAAGCCATCTTTGATACCCTTCGTGCTGATGACAGCTCTGAAGAGGTAAAGATGGTCATGGCTGACATGTCGACATTGGCTCGTGCATCTGCAGAAGCTGGGGTCCTGACCATGGAGAGTAGTGCCTCCTCTGACATCTCTCTTCCAATGGAGAGTAGTGCCTCCTCTGACATCTCCCTTCCAATGGAGAGTAGTGCCTCCTCTGACATCTCCCTTCCAATCATCACCATCTCATTAGCTCTGGAACCTGAGATCACTACTCCAGCTAAAGCCTGGGTTGCCTACACCATCGCTGACATTGAGGCTACCAACAGCAGTGTTACAGAAATACAAAAAACTGCCACCATCCCTGGGCTCTCAGACACAAGTCATAGCCCCACAAGAGCAGAGGCCCAGTCCACCATTGAGATATCAGCTTTGCCTGACTCCACTGAAGCAAAATCACACAGCACCAAGACTACAATCTCTGTTAAGATCTTGTCGATAGCCAGCACCACAGAATCAGCCACACCTGGTACCACAGTTGAGCCCCTACTAGCTACCAATAACACTAAAGAAGGAGAAACAACAGTCAAGGCCACTACCCCCAATGGGACTTTGGTGACAGTTAGCACACACTCCTTGAAAGAAACTGCAGCCTTCTCTGTTGAGACAGTAAGCCACACTAAGGTCTCAGAAGTTGAATCAACAATGGGCAAAACGACTACTCCTGCTATGATCTCAGCTACTGTCCATAGCCCCTCAGAAGTAGCCACCAAGAACTCTACACTTTCAGAAACTTTTACCACAGATAGCACAACCAGTAGAAACTTCCCCATCAGTAGGGATCCTCTTCCTTCTGTCAATCTGACTACAACCAGCAGCAGCCAAGCAGCAAACATCACGTTGGCTAAGACCACAGCCTCCGCAAAGACCCTGATGATAGCCAGCACAACCAGGGGAAAACCTCCAACAGCCATACCCACCACTGCTGAGACAAGGCTGACCACCAAAGGTACTGCAGGTAAGTGGCTCCCCCATGTGTGATCTTTGGGGATCTGAGGTTTGGAGTCTCCAGGATGTCTACATGCTTAAGAAGTAGAGAAGAAGGAAGGATCTGGGGGCCTCTTCTGAGCTGTCTCTACAACATCACCTCTGCATAATTTCTTAGAGTTTCTCACCAAAGTTAGTAATAGAGTCAGGGTTGTGCATGGAAAGAGTGCTGGGAGTCTGGTGAAATGGTTTGAGACCTGGCCTCTGCCCTTAGCAACCTAAATGACCTTGGACAAGTCCCTCTCTCTGGGCTTGAGTTTCTCCATCTGCAGTCAGAGGAGGTTGCACTGGATGAGCACTGAAGTCCTTTCCAGCTCTGACCTTCTACAAAGTTAACTGTTGAGTAAGTACTGTACGTCAGTTAAGGCCCCAAATTTTATTTGAAAGGCTCAGCCCTCATGTTCTGGAAGCCTATGGTCCAGTCATAGCTACATAGAGGGGCAGTATGTGGGCATCCAGCCAGAGTTCCTACCTTCCAAGCAGCTAGGGAAAGTGGGGCTCACAGGATGTACTTTATGAAGCTGGCACCATAGATAACCAAAACCAAACCCGTAGCCGTTGAGTCGATTCTCACTCATAGCGACCCTATAGCACCATAGATAGTGATTTTTTAAAAAAATGGGCTAAGTTTGGGAGTTTAAAGGGATATCTCTGAGACAACAGATGCTTCTCAGAGAAGTTCCTTGTCAGAGGCTGCTTGATCTGACCAACTCGTGGTCAGCCTATCGGCATAATTTTTTTAAATTTGTTCCCTGTGAATAGACATTTCGGTTGTTTCCAGTATTTTATTATGACAAACAGTGCTACACCAGACAGTACATTCTCACATGAGTGCTATTACCTGTAGGATAAATTCCTAAAAATGTAATTGCTGCATTAGCTCTAATAGTATTCTGACAGGAAGAAATGACTACAAGTGGCAGATGAAGTCAAGCAGATTAGGGCTCAGAAAAGAAAGAACTTTCTTACTGAGCTGCTAAGCCAGGAAGGATGGGTTAGAAGACTCCTCAGTCCCCACCAACTTAGAGCTGAAAGAATTCACTGAGGGTATCCCTTCAGACAGCCAGCCTCTCCCCTGGTCCTCTCCCAACAGCCCCCATCCAGGACCTCCAGGGGTTGAGAATAATCTAGATCCATTTCCATTTCTCATTCCTCACACTAGGCTTTTGACTTCTCCAAATGTGGGTGGCGCCTTTCGTCATCATTTCCTTCACACAGTCCTGGCTCTTTTTGCAGCGAGTAAGTGTAAGATCCCCTGTGAATACAGACACACACATGAGTGTGCACACACGGCTGTGGGGAGGGAGGCAGGGACTGGATAGTGTAATGCACGTCTTGATTGCTAAACCGACTTGACCGTATTTTCATCTTCCTACTGTTCTCAACTTACAGGTGGAGATGGTGGCTTTCTCCTTCTGCGGCTGAGTGTGGCCTCCCCAGAAGACTTCACTGACCCTAGGGTGGCAGAGAGGCTGATGAAGCAGGTGAGTGGGGGCTTTCTGGGCCAGGGAAGTAGAGGAGAGTGAGAGTTCATAGAGGACTCCAGGGGGATATGTGTACAGGATACAGAAGAGCAACTATTACACTTGAGAGGGGGTCTAGTTTCTTACGGAGTATTGGGAGCTAAAACCAAGGATCCCTGCCTGGCTTCATTTCTGTCTGTCTTTTCTGAGATCTTAATTCCCCTTCTCTGAATGTTAAAAAAAAAAAAAATTCTTTGCCCAGCTCCCCACTTCCACAGGCACTAGGAAGTTTAGGTCTTCTGGGCCCTGAGGAGAAGGTCAATAATACTGATGGAGAGGTAGGCAGGACTCTTGGTTGCAAGTGACAGAAGCCCAGCTCACAGTAGTTTACACAGAAAAGGCAAGACATTGGCTGAGAAACCTAGAAGTGGTTTTTCAGCATCAGTTATGGCTGGATCCAGCAGCTCAAACATGATGGCCAGGATTTTCTTTCTCTCCGTGTCTTAGCTCTGCTCCCCTCATTCTGCAGAGTCTCCCTCCACATGTAAGGAATGGTGGCCAGGACAGCCCTAGATTCACAAGCTTTCAGCTCAGCAACCTCAGCTGAGGAAGTCACTTACCTCTCCAAAGAGCTACATATCACACCAGGGACCTGCAAGGTCCATCCTGACTGATAGCCTGTCCAGGACCACATGGAATGGGAAGGCCAGGCCCCAAAGGAAATAGGGGTGTTGGGCACAAAAACCAAACAAACATCAAAACCCCAAAAACCGTACCTGTACACTCTAGATGGAGACCGAGATTGGAATCTATTTGTACAAGTTGGGAAAATTCTGTTAAGCTCAGATCATTGGACAGGATTTCCAGCGGTGGAATTCCGG